TCTAAAAGCTTAGATTGAGGTTTTAATCATATTTAGTCAAGGATATATATATGAATTTCATGTTGAAATGGCTCAACATAAGGAAATTCTATATAAAATCATAAGAAAACTTATGATTTGTAAAACTACATGGTTTTTGGAAACATTTACTAAAAGATAGCTTTTCTAGCAAAAATGGTTACATTATAGTCATTTACTAATTTGGTGGGTTACAACCCAAAAGTATTATGTTTTGATTTCATATTTCGACACTAGACAAGATAAAAACTTTATATTTATATAATAGATTATATAAATAGTCTCAACAAACACACAAGATAAACTATAATTGGTATAGTTTGGAAGTCACAAACCACACTTTTATTTCAGAAGAACCATATAATTATTCAAAGGTATAATTAGTTCATTTTACAAGAAAAATGAGTCATAGTTCTCGTGAATCTGTTGATCCTCTTGTGAGACGTTCCTTCATCGTACCTACCTAGTATACACCTTAAGTCCTGCATTATAACCAGAGTGTCCTTGAGGGAGAGCGAGATAGTTGTGTATAGATCTATACGGAATTGATAACCCCACACCTCACATAGGGATTGACAAAACGATTTGGTTTACGGAGTAACCTACACTTCATTAGTTTTATAAAAAGATATAACTATATACTATTTTCAGCACTGCAATACTCATACATTTTTGGTCTTAGAGTTTAAGACTACAGTTCACATATAAGAAAATATTGGATTTTCTGGAAACATACATTATCATTTTACAAGGAAAGGATACAAAGGAAATACATACATTTATAGTTATAATAACTCACAATTTTGTATTACAAATACGATTAGTGTATGAATACATAAATAACTTCAAATAGTTTTATTTAATAATAAAACTACAATACAATATTTTACAGTACATCTAGTGAATCCAGACACATACATTAAAAGGATTACATATAAATACAATTATAGTATACTATTTTCTAGTACATTGCAACTTACATTTATGATAGGACCATTATTGTTCACTCTATGATTTCTTAGTGTATACGTTAGGGTTATATAAAATGAAGATCCGATAGGCATTCGAATGTGTGATTTCCGCTTTACTTCCTGTTCCTTGTTTGGTTGTGGGCTTAGGGCAGAACCACTCATTCGACTGTCCGTTCGATCTTAATTATATATAACTTGTATACACTAAGTGATCATAGAAGGAACCAGTGAGGGTTACACTACTTACATGAATTTCATACTTCGTATTACAAATTTTAAGCATAAGAAAACTTGTACATTTTTGGTCTAGGTCTAAGACTACATTTCATTTACAAAAGAAAATATCGGATTTTCTAGAAGTTTATAAAAATCACTTTACACGAAAACGTTACAAATCCTTCTCACACAAAAATGCTTATGAACTCACCAACTTAATTGTTGACACTTTTCAAAATCACTTGTATTCTCAGGAAACCAGTAGACATGTATTCAACCCTTCTTGAGGGCTGGCGTCGTCGTTTCATGTTTTCTGCTTTTCAGTATTTGTATTCAACTTTTGAACAAACGGAGATTTGTAAACAATGTAATACTTGAAATCTCAATGTATGAATGTTTGTGTTGCTATGTTTAATTTATATTCAATTGTTATGATATTGTACATGACATCATCCGCCCCCGAAAGTTTCCGCCGTTCCGGTTTGGGGGTGTGACATAGGTAAATCACCCCCGTTTTAAGAATTGAGAAGATGGGGTCGGTAGGGTGAGGATGTCGACGTTGTGTCTTCTCTAGTGACGTGCTCGTCCAAGTTCCAACAAAAGGAGACATGCACCATTTTCTCCGGTGACTTGGTCCTCCATGTTCAACACCCCTTTCTCTTTCCATTTTCATTTGGAGCCCTAAAAAGATGATCGTTGGTGCAAAAATCGTAGATACATATTTTGATTTTGTTTCCAATAAACTCTAGATTTCGCTTTTGTTCCACCTGTAACCCCTACTAGGGTTATGGATTTTAACTTTTTTCATGGGGTTGAGCTATAACTAATTTCCAAATTTCACACAGTTAAAAAGCTTGCAAGCCTTATTACAATCACTGGGCGGATTGGGGAAAGCTGTGAGAACGTAAAAGGAGATGGTGAGTGGGATCAAAATAGGGAGTTAGTGGGGTGGGTGGTTGGGGGTTAATAAATTTAATATGTACTTATTTATATATTAGAAATGATTAAACAAAGATATAAATGTTGGATCTATATGCTCAAGAATCATTTCAGAATGATAATTGTCAATAACATATAATCCAATAAGGTTAAACCTTTAGCAAGTAGTATTGATTATTTATTAGAATTCGATTATTAATAAATATTATTAACACTTGTATTTAATTTTGGAGAAATTAATACTTTGTGAAAATAATATTTAATTGGAAAATAACTATTTTATGAAAATAATATCTTTTTAGGAGTGTAACTAACTATTATATCATAAGGTATGATTTAATATGTTGTGTACAGGTTTTTGGACTTGTACAAGTTTATTTATATAATGTATATAAACTAATACACATGTGGGAAATAAGATTGAGTGTAAGACACTAAAAAACTCTCTTGCTTCTAGTTATGATCGAAATTAAGAGGGTATGGGTGATAGGTTGCTTGCAATCTTCCATATTATACACACCATACTCGTTAAGTGTCATCCTTTGACCTTTGTAGATGTATGACCCTTAGATATAATGTGTGATTATATAAAGAGATGAAAGCCTTTCTTTTGAGCTAGTTTTTCTTCTCTTTTTCTTCGTAGGCCGAGAGTTCCCTCATCTCTCATTTCTTTCTCTTTTTTGAAGTGCAGTGATGGAATTAAGTGCTTAAGTGCTTCTCGTTAAGACTAAATGATGTTTAGTTCTTAAAGTCTTAAGAAGTACTTAATACAAGTGAAGAACTACCATTCCTGGTTACTCAAATTTGTGAGTAGATACATTATATAAAACCTCTTCTTTGAACTTTTTTTCTATCTTTATCAACTCCCCAATTATTAAGTGGGATCAAAGTCTTTAAAGGTTGTCATCTAAGCATCATATAGTTGTTTTATAATATTTCTAACTCATATAAATGGATCTTTGGTGATTTTGTTTTAAATGGTCTTATAATAATAGTTATTTGAAAATCCTTTCCATTTGCCATTATAAGATAAAATGATTGTTTTTAGCTATCAAAACCCATCAAAAAGATAAAGAAAAAGGTATGTCATTTTATATGAACGAGAGACAAACCACAATAAATTCAATGATATAAACTTTCCACAAAACAGGAAAAAGCAAAGGACTTAACATTATATTCTAAAAAACAACAGGGACCATTTACAAATATTTGTCTTTTTATATGGTATTTTATTTTTCTAGAAATGTCATTTATATACTTAAAAATAAAAGAATATATTTTTTAAATTTGTCAATCGTATAAAACAAAAGTTATAACCTAGTTCTAAATATATATGTTTATAACAATGTTTTAAAAAGTTCGTCATTATTACAAAACTTATACTTTGCATCAAACTTTAACAGAATGTCGTTTTAAGACATATATGTATATAAAATTGAATAATCCTCCTTAATAAATGAAAGTTTTTTTTTGCCACATGTCAATCTTTCATGAGTTTTGACACTTGTCATTTTGTGGTATTTTTGAAATAAATATTATCCACTTGTCATTTTTTGGTTTGTTTCAATTTTTTAAATTAAAGTCATATACTTATATATGTAAAGTATTAAATATCATGTATATGATATTAAATTGCAATAAATACGTTTTTTCATTTTTTTTAAGTTGTACATTAAAAAATATTTTCTGCTTACACTTTAATGTTTAATCTTTTTTTAAATCAACCCGTGTAATACACGGGTCTCACACCTAGTCATAGAATATATATAAAATTATTAATTATATACAAAATCACAGTGTTAATTTAAGCTTAACATGGCTACGATTAAAAAAAAACCTTAAACCTTCACATTGCCACCAAATTACTAGGTTAGTTATAACGAACGAGAAGTATAATTCATATATATATTTTCGCAATTTATTCTTTGTTTTATAACTTTTTGTGGAGATGCTAGTGCCTAATAGGCCGTACCCGCCAAAACTAAAAAGCAATATTTCTTTGCTCCTCATACCGCCACGTGTACCATCAACCAAAAATTCACAATTTATTTTTCATCAAATTTACTAGTGGTCAACCAACTCACACATCGACCACACCTACACACATACATACACCATCGAACTTCACCTCTTCCAATTCAATTTTACTCGCAAATTTCGCCATGGAAGCAGCCTCTCATACCTGTTGCAGAATCGACTCCCTTCCTCGCTCGTTAGCTTCTAACGATTGCAGTACCAGATTCACCGCCGGTCGCCGTTCCTTTCCGAGCATTGTTAGGGTTAAGCGACGGAATGGAGTGACTCGTGCTGTCGCAACTGAACCGAAGCCCAAGGCAGCCGATCCTAGAACGTCAAGAACCGTCAATGGATCTTCAATCAACGGCACTTCCACGGTACATTAATATTTTATCTTGCTTTCAATTCTTACATGTAAGTTATTAGTTATACGTTCTGTCTGTGAAGAAGTATTCATGTTTCGAATTTGATTTGGTTTGTCTGCAGAGAATGGAGACAGTTTCACAAGAGATTAAAAGAGTTAGGGCTCAGATGGAAGAGAACGAACAATTGGCATCACTTATGAAAGGGCTTAGGGGTCAAAATTTAAATGATTCTAATTTTGCTGCCGACGATGTTGAACTTCGCCTTGTAGAGGTCTTATTTGCAATCCATCACTTTTTTTTCATTTCAATCATTTCTTAATTTTTATAAATAAGTAGTTAGAACTGTCAATCGATATGGACATATATGTTCTTAAATCGAAATTTCTTGATTTTCTGTATACTTTTTTCAGACTGATGAAAGTAGCGAATTATTGCCGATGGTATATGATCCTGCTATCATCTCTGCATATTGGGGTAAAAGGCCACGAGCTGTTGCCACACGTATCATTCAATTAACGTCTGTTGCAGGAGGATTTCTTTCACGTCTTGCTTGGGACGTGATAAATAAGAAGGTTAAAGAGGTAAGTTGATCTTTCATGCAGTCTGCACATTTGTTTTATGATTTTGATCTTTGTGAAATCACAAAAACGATATAGATTGTGATTTTTTCTGCTTCCCTTATTCTTACTTCTGTGTTGTTTTTTTCTTATGTTGATCAGAATGAAGTTTCTCGGGCAATTGAATTGAGGGAAATTGTAACCTCTTTGGGTCCCGCATACATCAAACTTGGGCAAGCATTGAGCATTAGGCCAGACATATTGTCCCCTGCTGCAATGACTGAACTTCAAAAGCTTTGTGATAAGGTTCCATCATATCCAGATGACATTGCCATGGCACTTCTAGAAGAGGAACTTGGAGAGCCATGGCAAAACATCTATTCAGAGCTCACAACTTCTCCTATAGCAG